AGAATCGAGAACACAAGCGCGCAAAACTCTAGAGGCATTCTGGATATATTCCAAGAATCCGAAAATAAACCGCAGGGAGGAATGCCTCGTTATCACGCGTGATATTGGACAGTACATAAACCTGTTATTCTGATGGGAGAGGCACTTTACCCTCCATGTGAATTCTGTGCGGTCGGTCCTCACGCGACATACTCAGTGGAAGACTCATAGAAAGCGGTGACTGTGCAGAGCCATGCTAAATGTGATTGAAATCTTGGTTTAGCGTTTTCTCTGTTTGGTTATGGAGGTGTTTGGCCGAGTGGATTGCTGTCAACTTGACCCTTCCAGGCTCTGAGGAAGGCGAAATCCGCCGAAAGGTCAGCTTGTGCGTAAATAAAGAAATAAAATAGCACCTCGTGCTTGCTGAACAGAAGTAGAAAGACATATTTCATAACTTTACTGAATTGTGTTTTTCAATGACTCCGCCTACATTCAGCTTTCATCACCCCTTGCACTCTGAACGCCAGTTTCCACAAACAATACTTGCAGATTCATCACAGTTTGTTTCCAATTTTAAAGCCTTGTTTATTCAACTAGACCTTATCGAAAGGGGCAGACTTTGGCCTGGCTGACCCCCGGGGATCCAGCGACCCACCATGGCCAAACCAGCAAAGCTCCGAAAAAATGGAAATTATGCTGGGGCCCGCACAACCAGTGAGGACGGGCCACCCAAGTATCCAAGTATGTTATCGAAAGCGTCTGGTCATCTGTGCGTCTAGTACAACACAGTATAAAACATTATCTGAACCTTATCTCAGACACCATCACTTTTCGCCTAGGCTTTCATTACGTAGTCACAACCCCATTCCCTACCTTAAAGTCCTATTTTGATGGTGTAAGCTTTTTAGTTCTTACCTTAATAACCATAATAATTACCTTAATAATGAAAGAATAGTTCATAGGAATTTTATGCATTTTGAAAACCGCAAGTTGATTTTCTCTATAAGTCAGCAAAGTCATTGTTCTATTAATAGCGAAGTTCTCGTGTGTTTTCGAAAAATCAGCTTTGAAGCGCAAGAGTTACAAATATAAAAAAGAAAGTTGTTTGGTGAACATGAATAGACATACGCTTCCAAAATAAGTTTAATTACTTCCGTGAATATTTGTTTTCAAAAACAGTTTTGCATTCGTCTTGCACATTCATTTTGTCATCGTCCTGTTACTACCAGAGACATCACAGCTGAGGTCCAGTCGGCTTGGCCCGAAGTGGTGTGAGCATTTGGTTCGTGATCCGGGCGCGGTACTCTGGTTAGCATCGTTTTTTCTGCACATCGCTCTTTCTTTTCCTCTGACCACACGAGTGTCGAGTCAGTTGCTCGGCAGACGGCCACTATGAGATCCACACCATTATATCTGGTCGTCGTTCAACTTTTCACAAGGGTATTTCTTGTCAGGTAAGTGGTATTCGAAGCACAAACCTTTTCTCTTGCTCTCGGTATCCGCGAAACTCTGCAGACCATTCAGTTCTCAGCTAAAGTCAACCTAGCAGTAGCAACTTTCTCCGCACGGTTTTGCAGCGTACTTACATCTTTTCTTATTACAAGTAGTTTCGACGTGGTAATGAACTTGAGCGCTTTTACCTTCTGTACTTGTTGTGTGGTCAGGTTGACAGCTGTACTCGCGAAGATTTTTTGTTTCCGACTCTCTTTCGCAACACAACAGCCTGACCTGATCGATGGAAAGTTTCTTTTCTGCTCATAGCATTCAATGTGTTGGGATTTTCAGTTACGGAATTAACAAGATATAATAGTTAAGTGTTGGGCTTTTGTTAAGAACTAAATGAGAAGCGATAAGGTAAGCTAACTTCTAAGTTGCCCAGAATAAAATCTTAGAACCGGGCACTATTTGTCCCCAGGCGCAGAGAGTGGAATCTTTCACGTTCTTCGTTTTTATTTAGCTTTTTGAGTGGAAATTCGACTGTAGAGAAGGTCAGTATTATTGAGAAAAAGCAGTTCGCATATGTACATGGAACAAGGTATATGAAGCAACTGCTATCATGAGGGCAATTATTTGGAGTTACTCAAGTTAATATGTATTCTTTCTTTGATGAGCTTACACGAGGTTGATAATGATGTTTATTTTCGAACATATCACTGGATATTATCATTATATCGACCATCAGCATCGTGTATAAAAGGGCATCACTGCGTAAGGATGGCTCATTCGAGAAGATGGCTCACTGAAGAAGACCTGACTCGACACGAAGGCGAAGCTGCCACGTCGAGACGAAAAACAAGCGAGGACCATCGACGGGCCCAACGAGCTTTTTTGTGATTTTCAGTAAGTACTGTACAAAAGAGGATTTAATATGGAGTAGATCTAAACTTGATCTTGTCCAGAGTAGGACCGAAGAACTAGAATACTAGTGATGGGCATCAATATGTTCAAAGAAGTGACGACGAAGGAACAAAATGAGAAAGAATTCTGTCAATCAACCTTGTAGATGTGGGAGATCAGTCTAGTGTGTGGTTACACTCAGCTTGTGCTTAATCTTTAGAAGTGCATCTGCTGAGAATACGTATTAACTATGATGAAGGTCTGGCAACGCACTAACACGTTTTTGCAAGGATTTCAGATAGATTAACTTACCCAGCCTTCGAATATAATCATGAGGAAGGCCAAAAATTCCCAAGCAGCAGCCAAATCCATACGAAAATAAGAGGACCATCGTGATTAATGGAAATGAAGGAACGAATCGAGTGCAAAAAGTACTGGGATTTTTTCAAAAGTGTACCTAAACTGAAGTGTGGTGTATTTGATCCCATATGCAGAAAAATCACCAGCCGTTACTGATATTTAGAGGTGACTTGTGGAAAGCGATGGCTCATTTCTGTTTGACCAAATGGTGCTGAATCATTTAACAAAATTGGACCTCGGATTCGAACTCGCTCCTAACTCGAAAAGTCTTCTAACTAAATGACCAAGCTCGTTTCTTTCTTCTGTTTTTCACTCCATAGCTCAAATTTTCTATGTAAGCTGATTTTTAGGAATTTTCATTTTATATCATACGTCCAAGGACTCATGTGGCACAGTGGTTGGAGACGCGCTGCAACCCACACGTAGAATCGATCCCAGCGCCTATGGCCCACCAAGCTTTCCATCCCTTCGACGTCGGCAAATTTGTGCCAGACTTGTCTAGGAGGTACCGACTCGATACATCGGTACACCACTATGGGGTACTGTAAAGACCAGAAGTGCATTCAATCACCTCCAAACAATGCTTAATGGAGTCGAATGCATGGTGCATCCCTCAGAGATTGATTAACGCCGAAAGCTCTATCCTTTTTTATTTATATTCTTTATTCTAAAATCTGTTTGAGGAGTAGTACTTCTAATTCGTTCTTCCTAAGACCTACACGATAAACTTAGTAACACATACATTCCGACTAAAATTTTGTATGGCCTTACTTACGCTGGGAGTCTCTTTGAATTAAACTAACCAAACTGGTCTCAGGGGCGTTAAGTGCACTTTTCTTTGGCAATAGCCTTTGTGTTATTCTCTCGCAACGAAATTCGCTTAACGCCGCCTAACTCACGTGTTTGTATTTTTGTCGCAGCCTTGTCTTTTTGTACCATTTCACCAGCAACAGGTCTCTGGCACAATTGGCCAACTTTTCCGAAAAAAGGAAGTTCTTTGTAAAGCATTAAGTGAAGTCTTCTGGAAGCTGAAGTCTGGGAAAGCATGTTTTGTGGGAAAAGCAGCCAGTGAAAAAGAGCCACGTGTGGTTTACGTCGGTCAACCTGCACACTGCGCTTGAATCATATAGAACTCATAGTCGACTCTATCTGCTAATAATATCACAGTTGCAGTGAATGCATAAAATTATGGAATGCATGCGGAAATTGGGCTCGAACCCAAATAGTGTCTACATCGGTTATTCAGACGACTTCAAACTATTCTCGATTCTTTTTGTTAAATGGCATTCTGTTCATCCAATGTTTCGCCCGATGAGCCAAATAGCAAATGCTACCAAGGTTTTCTAAGAAATAGGCTATTTAACTTAGATTTACAAGTTTTACTCAGAGTTTGGAACCGTTTCTTTAACGTCTAGGTCTCTATTGTTAAAAATGATTTTAATTATGGTAGTAAGTTTGCCAACAGAGCGAATGCGAGTGTTTATGTGTGGCTGGGAGGAAGAGATTGACTTAAGCTGGGCATGGCAGCACTAGACCGATCTTGAACTACTCGACTTGACATCTTAAGTGGCGTCGTTTTTTCCCGACATAACACCGGAACGGCGCGTGATTGAATTTGAGCCTGTTGGTGAGATGATGGTGAGGTTTAATTTGTGTTGCAAAGGTGAGAAGTAGGGCTAATAATTCTATTTGGAAAACAAACGCTCAAACTACAACTGTGCATGTATGTATTGAAAATCGGTGGCTTGGAGATATCGCTGGATACCGTAGTTAAGGGCCCTTCGGCTAGAAGCACTCTGTCAAGGATCGCGACCCGGTGATTGCGATCCAGTCTCTTGCGGTGGCACGTGCGAGTCTCGTTATATCAGGTGTGTGTGTCTAGTGTTTTTGAGCCTTTTTAAGAACTCACCACTTTACTAGAATGAATTTTAAGAGAAGAAAAGCGATTACTACTCACAGCGGTTCTTTGTTGTTACACCTCAGCATCGATGAATAAAGCATATTTGTATGAAATGCTGAGATATTTGCAAAACTCCGGACCGCAGGTGTATGCAGTGGAGAACGAACACGCGCTGTTGTCCTTTCCGGGGAGCAGCGCACTTCATCACCACACCATCTGGGTCCTTCCTTGACGGGTGATTGCTGATGGCAGTGAAGTGCGCTGCTCCCCGGTAAGGACAACAGCGCGTGTTCGTTCCCCACTGCATACACCTGCTGTCCGGAGTTTTGCAAATATCTCAGCATTTCATAGAAGAAAAAGGCAGTAAATAAAAGGGTTAAGAAAGTATGCTTGCTCAAACGACGTTCTTTTCAGGTTTTTTGATCGCCTCTCTAAAACGGATCGTACAACAAAAAACTGCCACTGTGCAAAGGTAGGCTTAGGGTCAAGCATTTTCGCTGTTTGTTCAATATCTGTATATATTTATATAAAATGAAGAACAAGAGTCAGGTTGGAATGATTCATTGCAGGAAAAGATTTGCTCAATCATCGGAATGCATCCACATGCTGGATGTCGTTCGTATTCGACACTGTCCGCTGCCGGGCAACGACTGATACGCCTCTGGAGTTTGGATGGCAAAGACCGACGCCTACGTTTCAGCAACAACATTTTAAAGCGCTTCTCGGAAAAGGAAAGGTGACTTTGACCACTTCAAGGCTCGTTAGCCTCATTTGAGCTAGAATACTTCAGACATCGACAGCTGATCAACGGTAACAGTCGCTTCTGTTGCCGATCCATAACTATCAGTAGAGCTCCAGCAATGAGACTTCGTGGCGGTGCTATAGGAGAGGTACGAATCGCTGCCGTTGTTCCAGTGATCATCATGTTCATCCTCATTCGGTAGCGAAACTACCCTCGTTTTGTATCATGCTCAGGCCTTCAGAGTCAGAAAGGGAACCTGTTTGACTGTTTAAAGCCATTTTGTTTCGCAAACTCTAGAAATTTACCGAATACTCATAATTTCTTGCTCCAGTGGTCCGACCATTCTACTCTGTTATTGAATACAATACTAGAACCTCGATAATACTTTCTTCATTGTTGTAGAGTTGTACTTTTCGCACTTGGTCCATGGTTCAGAGATCCGGCTGCGTTTTCTACCAGATGTTAAGGTCATTATTCCTTGAAAATGGTAAAGCGGTCTACCTTCCCACTAGTCGATAGTACACCAGGGTCTCGTTGAACCACGATTCCACTAGTTCCTGTGTTCCTGTAGTGTCGATAGAGAATAAGCGCTAAACTATGCTACATATCCCAACAGCTGAAGTTTCGTCGATCTCCACTTGGCATTCGTCATTTTTTGAGTGGTACATTGGGCCGAAGTACATCGTGAGGTTAGAGATCCTCGGCTAATGTCCGTCCTCCATAGAAGCGTCTATATCTGTTGAAAACGCCGTTTTATTCTTGTAAAACGATCTAAAGCTGAGAGATATTTTTAAAAGGAGTTCAGTGTAGCTCCCATGTATACCAACCAAACTTTATTGTTGATGATGATGTGTATGTGAACCATTTTCTTTCAATGCAACTCATGAATTGCATTCTTGATCTGTGGCTTTTGTGCTTTCATGCAAATGCGTGGTTGTGAATTTTGCGAGGGATGCATTTGTTGTCTCTGGCTTTATTTATTTTGTAATAATAACGCCATGGATACATTTGTTTTCTTGCTTTGTGTTGATGAGAAATGCAAGAATGCGAAGAAAAATTTATTCCTATGTTCAGCCCCACTGATACTAATGAACACAAGAAGTCTTTCTTTCTCTTTCACTTTCCGTCCTTTTTACACCTTCGCTGTCTCTCTTTCTCCGTTCACTTCTCTCTCTCTCTCTCTGACTCTCTTTCCACCTCTGTCTCTGTCTCTCTGTCAAGTTACAGAGATCACATGATGTGAGCTCAAAGGTGTCTGATGATGCCAGTGAGAGCAAGCGCCGTGAGCATTCGGCAACGGAAACAAAAATGAAATGCCTGCTGTCGATTCTGGATGAAGCACTGGCATCGATACGTCCACATTCAAAGCAGTTTTTTAGTTGCACTGATATTCAATTCATTGGTTGGATAAAAAGAGATAACCGCAAACGTATCCAGCGCAATTTTTTGTGCTTTGTTACTCTGTCTTCTGGCTGCGCTTTGATAATCCATAATTCTTCACAGCAGCTCTCCTGAATTTCCCACACTAGGACGGAATTTCTAGCACCGTGTTCAATACTAAGCATGTGAATCACCTTAATTTCACTGCAACGTAGAACAAATGGACCAGTCACTTTCTCATTCTTTTATATTTTGAACTTACCCAATTCGGCTTTTTCCATCTGGGGTTTTTAAATCTTATCCTTCAACGTCTGTATTACTCATTAAAACGAAGTCTGAAATGGTCTACGATATTTTGCTTAGAGCGATATTCCGTTATACGACGTGTCGTCGATACTGCGGAATCGAGTAGTCAATGTGGCCAGGTGTTTATGAATATTCACATACTGTGGCGATCCACTGGACGATGGCTGTCGCATGAAATATGGGGCTGGCACCTCTCGATCGAGGGTCAATTCCGCGCTGTCTATTGGACTACGAGGGTGATTTCCGGCTGGAAGTAGTAATGTCGTTGAGGTGTTCACCTGACTTGATACGTTGCCAGGCGCCGGCCGTGAGTTGTTGGCGACGACAGCCGCAGCGATTAGAGGCTCTCCAGTCACCACACAGCGATTGTAATCGAGGAGAACTGAAGTGGCCAATGAGAATGATAAACACTTTGGAGTTCGTTCCCGAAATCTTCGCCTATTGTAGAAAGGGAAAAGTTGCATGCTTAAATCAAGCAACACCACAGTTCCGCGTGCACTTCGTCCTTTGTCAGAAGTTTCACTACATCGACTTTCCGTTATTCTCTGCACAAGCATCGTAGATTCCTTGCTGGTGTGTAAGATCTAGGTTCGTCGAGACGTGGTAACATCGGCAGATTCTAGAGTATCCTGTCGCACTAATATTACTAGCGTTCGACGTACCTGCTGTATTCCTCGTCAACACTAATTTTACTATAAACGATGCACGGATAAAGCGCTCGGCGTTGAACAATCTTTGAGGGATGCGCCATGTGTTCGACGTCATCAATCATCGTTAGAGATGGTTAAATGCACAACTGGCCTATACCATGTCTTATGATGGTCTACCGATGTATTAATTCAGTGCTGTCCTGCTAGAAAAGAATGGCACAAAAACGCCGACCCCAGGACGGAAGGAATTGTGAGCCCTCGGCACATGTTTGAACCATCGACAGCTGAACAGCTGCTTGTGAATAATTAGTGCTTTTCACCCTTACAAGACACAAAACTGTTTTCTCCATTCTTAAAAAATTTCCCATCATTTGGAGTTTTTGAGAAAAGTGGAACACCTTCAACTGTTTTTACCTAACAATAGGTCCAATCCTTTCACGACCGCGGCCATTTTCCACCTCGGCTGTTCGAGCGGCGTGTCATAGCAGCGCAATTGAAATGCGCATTGAAATCGAGATGTACGGTCCCACACGAACATTTTTACCTATTATTGCCAATTTTTTTATTTAAAGCCGAAGAATAAATTTTAAATTAACTCATAAGTCCTCTTTCTTATATATTTTCCCAAAAACCGCTAGCACAAGCCGAGCAACGACAACGTGCTCGCGAATGATGAAATTCTAGTCCTTCCGAGCTTGACCAGGTTTGTTTTGTGCAATAGTCCTTGGAATGCTTGTCTTCTTTTAATGTTTTCTTTTATAAATAAAAATCACATATCTTCATAGGACGGAGATAGCGTAGTGCTTGGTGATGTCGTCGATCAGGAAACAAAGGCACTGGTTTAATCCCCACACCAACGCTCTCCTCCAATTCACATGGGACACCTTAGCCCAGCCATCTCCATGCCTACGATGAGTTTAGCCTTGACCAGCCTTCTACGATAATTACAAAAGAAGAAGAAATCCTCAAGCATCAGCTGAAGTGACACGGGAAATTTTCGAACACCATTGTGGACACAAGTTCTAGGAAAACAAATCGATTGCGAGACGCGCTGGGATCGGCACAGCAGATGTGATGACGGGTCAAGTAAAAAATATAAAAAGATATGTGTTCACATTTGCACTGTAGGATGGGTTGAAATGGCGTGGTGGCGGAGTGGTTAGTAATCATGCCCATCAGCAAGCAAGATACTGGTTCGTCTCCCTCCGCAACACTCCCCCAATCCATGTGAGTTAACTCGTTTATCCAAAAATTGGTTGCAAAGAGAATCGACTAGGCCAGCATTTCATAAAGAAGACGAGATCCTGAAGCAGCAGCGAAAAAACAACTCTAAATGTTCATAAACCCTTGTAGACAACAAGTGCGAGGAAGACGAATCGAATGCAAGAACTGCTGGGATCTACACACTGGGTGTGGTCGTGTAATAATAATAAAATATTTTAGCATTTCATTACCAAGACCATGTTCACGGAAAAACCGAGTACCATTTACAACGTTTCAATTCAATATAAACGAAGAAAAGCAATACAGACAGATCATCATAGAGTTTGAGTGAAACAAACATAGCGCTTTTTGCGAACGTAGTACCTCGCAGTTCAGAGCATATCGATTTGCAGCGCTTCCTAATCAATACACAAATATTTGTGCTTGCATTGCATAATTTTACATCTCTACAAGAATATGTCCGCTCAATAATTATATTGAATGGTGCACGACAGCTTCGTACTGTCGCAGTTCAGTAAGATCCTTCATAGCGATGTGGCCGTTCCGGTCAGATATCCAGCGTCCGTTCATGCCAGGGATTCGCGACGTCGGCTTGCCCCATGTCATCCCTCGGAACAAAAGCACTTCGTCAACTAAAAACAGTCTGAATCTCAAAAATAATTAAGTGCAACCATCTTTTAACATATAAGCGACTTCGTTTAATATTGTATAGTGGTCGCAAACGACTACGCCAATTATTCGCAGCGCACAGCATGCAGGGAAAAATTCATCCGAAAAATGTCTTTTTGCAGACTATTAAATGTAGAAAATGACTTTTCACAGTCTAATTGTGAAAGAACACCTAGTTGAGTGAATTATTGGCCTAACATAAAAAGTGCGATGAGTAGAATTGTCGCAGTACCTCCTGTAGCACCTGTCGTTCCGTTGACCGAGAAGTGAGTCGAGAGAGGGTCAGTAAATCTTAGATTTCTCCGTGTCGCACGCAATAGTAGCTCAGTGGGTTCTGCTAGCTCTGAAGACTCGTTGAGCATCATACCTTTCTTTTAGCGCTTTCATGAAGAACTTCATGAAGACCATCATGGGGTTTTCCCGACTTGCGTTTAACATTCCGAGGAATACAGTCGCTAAAGACTCTTGTCCATCGGTGTTAGCTATCCATACGCATTATGTGTCCGGCCCACCTCACATTCGACAATTTGGTGCAGAAAGCCATCTTTGATTTTCGATGGTTGACACACGTTGGAGCTTCTGGTTCGTACCTCACTTGCTTTCGACTGCACGCTCTATAACGCTACGTGGTTTTTCAATCTGTTCATGTAGTGACCAGGCTTCTGAAGCGTATGTGAAGGAAGAGAGAATGTGGAGTCGAAAAGGTGGACGGGTGTTCCTTGTTCTGTTCGCTATATCTTTGACGCTCTTGGAAGCTTCCCAAGCTGCTTGCTTCCTCCTGTTCAACTCTGGAGAAGAGTCGTTCATCATGCAGACTTACCGACCTGGATAGATATTCGAAGATGATCGTTCCGCTAAGCATAAATCATGAATACGAAACAAATTCGTACTCCACGAATATTGTTTTCTGCGAAATTTATTCAAAATGAGCCTTTCCACAAGTCAGTTATCATTCGTGGCGTCTGGTTAATGGCTGGTCTTATAAGAACGATGTCATCAGCAAAGCAAAAGACGATGGAATTGCCAATCGTCGATTTTCATTCTCACGTTGTCCTATTCTAATCCTTGCATGGCGTTCTGGATGGTGGAAATACCTCAAACTACCCTCCTTAAATCGGTGAATGTGAGACAGAGCGATCTTTTGTAATTAAGCGATACTTCGATGAGTGTCGTTATCGGGCGGTTGTGGTCTTATAGCATTGAATCCTTTTCGTAACTCTGCTAACTCATATGGCTGTCCTTCGTCCAGTGTTCCGTCCACCCTCTAGAATGGCTCGAGTGAAGAGTTTGTGGACGACAGACATCAAGCAGATTGGGCGCTAGTTGCCGATGTCGTGGAGGTCACCGTACGCGGTATACAGGAGTAATAGGCATAGATATCAATGCATACTCCCACATTTATGTTGAGGCTGCAGAAAATGGAATCCATGGCCTCATAACATCTGTCGGAAAATAACCAAAAGAAAAATGTAACCTCTCCATATACCAGTAGGCCATAAAATTCGTTAATAAAAATAGTTAACGAAGTAACTTATTTGCGAGCAGAACGAAAGTTGTACTCGAGTGTTCAAGCTTACCGTCGCTCCACATGGCGTACACGTGCTCGGCCTCTCGGGTCGGGTCATTGTTCAACTTTTCGAGTAGTGCCGAATAGTTTTCTTGTTTACAGTTGCCTGACGTGTAGCCGCAGAGCAGCTGAAAAGATCGTAGCTCAGACACATGGCCGATTTCATAAAGTCAAAAGCAAGCGGGCAGTGCTATCGACACACGACATTGATTTAGTCAACATTTACTGAAGTTTTCTTGCTACTATGCTTTTGGAATTCATATCTCCAGTCCTAAATTTGCTAGTAGAGAGCGTTCGCGTAGCAATCTGCTGTCTATGGAAATCACCTTACATGCTGCTTATAAAGTCACCGAGTTACCCAGAACGAAGTCAAAGACCGGCACTGTGTTCGACCGAAGGCTCCCTTTTTTGCTACCGCGACGTTGTTAGAATACTTATATTTAGTTGCTATCATCATAATACCACATATGCAAAGGAAAGGATGATTACTTCCATCTGGGAAAGTTCATGGTGGCCTAGACATTGCTAAAGTAGATGATATGTATGGATTTACAAAGGTGCTGCAGATGAATACACATACTTTACAGCAACAAAACAAGCGAAAAAAAACCTGATCTTGATCCATCTTAGGAAAAAAGCGATCAATTTTAGCAGCATAGATGTCGATTCATGCAATTCAGAAATAAAGACTGAGCGAAGTGGAGGGCCTAATAGTGGAAAATCCCGGAAAGTCTATATTGTTCTGTCTAAACTTATTGAGTTAGTGAATGCGCGCTCATCAGTGCAGTGATTTAAAGTCACCCAACAAAAGATTCAGCGTTTCACCACTGTTCGTTCGTCAGTAATACAAGCCGTTTGAAGGAGCAACAGGTTACTGTTTCGGGAAAGGTAGCTAACCCAACCACTTCATTTGCGAGTGATATGATTTCGCTCTACACCACAGCTCATTACAGGCCACAGGTTTTGACTTAATACAAATAAAGTTATGTTTTTACATAAGTAGTAGTTGTTAGAAGATGGCAATTCTTGCTAACTGACCTGATCTTGGCAAGTATAGCCGGGATAAAGTCCATCGAGGGCGTTGCACCATGCCGGCACTGTTTGTGCCAGTTGACACACACATAAACCTTTAAAAATATAAGCACGACTCCACAGAGCTAACCTCAGTTTGCAAACATTTTTCTTAATATGGTCAAATTAAGAGACAGATGCAATGATTAAATGAGGAAATACTAAAGGACTAAGGAAAAGCTAGGACAACGTATAGTTCAATAACAGTAAACAAACAGAGAAGGTCTTTAAAAAGGCATGTTTCATGACTAAAACGTTCTATGAACTATAGATGAGTTGCTAATCTGTTTAACGATAACATGAGGTTGGGTCTATAGCTAACCTTGGTAGATTAATCGTAGGAATCGCTCCAGGAGATTGGGAATGAAAGAATTTAGGAGTTGCGAACGCCTCAGCACGACTACTTCAAAATATCATGGAAAATCGCGCTCAATGACGCTCTCTCAAAGAAGCGACAAGAAAAGGAAAAAGCGGAAAAAATTTGAACCCGAGCAGCATGTAAGGACGGGCCATTCAAATACCTAAGCAGTAGTAGCATGGAACCAATTCTTCGGATTGGGATGCTTCCTCTCAGCGAAAGGCGATGTATAGCATGTCATCGGTGTCACCTAAGCCGCAAAGAAGTGCAAACTTCCGACCAGAAATTCACATAGAGTAAATCCATACCAAGGAAAACCTAGTAATTTAGCCATTGCTGCCTTCTCGCCAAAACAGTGAGCAAAGGGTAAGATTTTAAGTGGTTTTCCAGTGAATAGAACTTCCACTAACAGCTTGGGCGTGCAGTGGTTAAGTGAGACCTAGAGGTATCTGGTGAAGCGATAGAGGTGGTATTTCAATAGCTGCTTATTTGTTACAATAACGTGCTCAGTCAGACGTCTAAAACGAATAAATTGAACAGAAGGCGAGCAAGATACAATCATATTAGAAAAAACACTTCAACTCTAAGGAGAGCTATCCATGAAACACTCGATAAGGAAAGCTCATAAAGAGTACTTGGTCCAGATGATAAATAATGTTAGATGCTTTCAATTATCGGCGTTCTTACCGTAGTTTGGTCCAGCTATACCGACGAAAGTGTCGATACGTTCGGTGAGTGGAGGACCTAATGTACAGTTGCCATCGGTTCCAATAAGAGACCCGCCTTTAAGCGCCTTTCTAAGAGAAAAAATACATTTGAGAAAGTTTCGACTTCTGGCCGGCCATTCTACCACATTTGACCAGGCGGCGAAAACGTCTCTTGAGAATTCGAAACTCCACGTATACCTGGCCAGAACGACTCCTACAGAATGGGCAATGACGTCCACTTTTCTAGCCTTTGTGTATGCCAAAACCGCCTCTATGAATCTGAACATGTTCTTTCATAAGTCTCCAAAGAGCGCTAGACCATGATAACGTGTCAAGCTTTCCTACAGTTTACTTCTTACCAACATAACTTTTCAGAGGTGCTCGGTATGATAAACGGAAAACTAAGGGTTTTTACCTTTCAATATAGAAACACAGAATTATTAACAAGAATTTCCATCATGATAGAAGTTCAGTTCCCCAAAACCTTGCCCACAAGTCCGGCAGAACAAAGGCAACTACTGTCATTAGCACCATGTTACATAACATAAAAGTTTTAATTCTTTCTATTTCTGTTCAGCAAGCACGAGGTGCTATTTTATTTCTTTATTTACGTACAAGCTGACGTTTCGGCGGATTTCGCCTTCCTCTGATCCTGGAAAGGCCAAGTTGACTACAAACTATCCTACCAAACAGAGAGAATACAAAACCAAGATTTCAATGACACTGAGCACAGAGTCTTTGCACATTCGCCGCTTTCTATGAGTCTTCCACTGAAAATGTCACGTGGAGACCAACCGCACAGGTCACATGGAATCATAATATGCCCATCTCATCAGAATAACAGGCTTATATACTGTCCAATATCACGCGTGATAATAAAGCATTCCTCCCTGCAGTTCATTCTCGGATTCTTGGAATTAATCCAGAATGCCTCTAGGGCTTTGAGCGCTTGTGTTCTCGATTCTTGCGCGAGGATCGTAACCCCTACTTCAAAATCTTCCGCGTTATGTCTCTGCGTCCTATGCGTGCCTAGTGGAGTATTTCGTTTACGTTTGCCGACTAGGTGTTCTTTTATACGCACGCAGAGTGGTCTACCTATTTCGCCAACGTATTCGTCCCCGCAAGCTTTACAAGAGATGATATAGACTGTACCCGAACTTATGCAGTCACCGTCTCTACCATTGAGACAAATTATGCAATTTTTCGTTGCACATAGACGGTCATATAGGCGGTTAAGAACTAGCCGGCGTCTTAGATTACTCGGTGGCATTTCAATTATCGTTAGCGAATTCTCTAGACTGCCCCTTCTCAAACAGCGTTTTATAGCTGCACTTACTTCATTTGAAATGAAGGGCAGTATAAACGGGACCTTATTGTCGCTAAAGTTATCGTTGGGGTACCTTTGGTTTCCTCTACACCTATTTCGAGCTACAGTTTCGTAGCCATTAAAAATGGCTATTTGTTGCGCCAAGTTCTGGGACTCCTCTCTCTGCTGTCTTCCTGTGCACACGCTGGTAGCTGTTCGAAACATGCTTCTCACAAGCGCCCTTTTCGCATGAGAGGGGTGAGAGAAGAGATAATGAACCAAAATGTTTTTATTACTTGGCTTTCGATACCATTTCGTAATGTTGCCGTTTTCTGATAGGCTAATTTGCACGTTCAGAAATGGAAGCCAGTTTTCTTTTGGTTCCTCTCAAGTGAATTTAGTATACTCTGACTGTTCGCTCAATAACTCGAAACATCTGTCCTTTCTGTGTTAAACAAATGACCAAAGCAGTCGTCTATATATCTACAGTAGAGTGACGGACCGAGGTCGATTACTGGTGCATCCACCTTAGACATGAATGCAATGGCAAGGCTTGGTGCCAGTCGTTGTCCCATTGCCAGCCCTCTCATTTGTGCGTAATACTTCCCGGACCATCTGAAGAATGAGCAGTTTAGGCACCCCTTTAAGAGTTTCATCAACTGCTGAATCGAGAAGCCGTACATGTTTATTGCTCCTTCGTGTTGTATGAGGAGCTCGCTTATGGCTTGCATAGCGGAGTCATTCGACGCGTTCGTATAGAGGGCACTGACGTCAAAGGACTCCATCATGTACGCGCTGTTGGGTCGCGCGTTACGTAGACGATCCAGGAACATTTGGGTGTTTGTTAGATGAGCCGGAATGTACTTCAACAACTAAGTAATCGGGTTATTAACCACGTTATTCTATCCGTTAGCCCGTCCGCGCAGCTAATGATAGGTTTAACCTTAAATAACGATGGATCGGTAGACACGAGATCATCGCTGGGTACTAACTTATGGTTCCCAGGGTCGACTTTCTATTAACCTTGGCATTGGAATATGAATGCGTCGTTTTCTTGTTCAGCAAACGCGAGGTTTTTAAACAGCATACATTTACTTCCATAGAAAAACACAATGCAATACAAAGGTAGCTGACGTTTCGGCAGTATCGCCTTCTTCAGAGCCTCTTTTTTGCGTGACTTCCAAATGAGGAAGTTTAGAACAGCTGATTATAGTCGCATATGGTTGATGACTGCATCATCCTACCTCTGTTCTAAAGTTCCTCATTGGAGGTCACGAAAAAGCGGCTCTGAAGAAGGGGATACTGCCGAAACGTCAGCTGCTGTTGTATTGTATTGTGTTTCTCTATGGAAGTAAATGTATGCTGTTTAAAAACCTCGCGATTGCTGAACAAGAAAACGACTAACTTATGGGTTTTGATAAGTAAGTACAAAACGACTCATGTTGGTAAGTCAATTTTGAGATGAGAGATAACTGATGGTTTTAACCCAGCCGTTCTTGCCACTTTAACCCATTCGTTGTTTAACTTTCGGTATGGACTTTTAAATTCGTTCTCAGACGACGGACGATAAAGGAAGCATCTTCAAGGTGCCTTTCCGTTATCTCAACATCTAACTGATGGGGAATTACAACGAACTCTCCATCTTTATCACTAGCCGATAGTCTTATGTTTTTCAATCTTATCAGCTCTCGTAAGCATACCACGTTTTTGTATTTCAGTGAAGTTGGAGCAGTATCTCTTGGCGCGATAGTGATTAAGGACTTTAAAAGTTTCACTCGTAAGCGTCTGAAATTTCATGTCGACTTCATTATTGGGCTCTTGTTGTCTAAAGAACGCTTGAGAAAATTGCATTGCCCCTACTTTTTGTTGTTCGCGCCTACTTAGCCTTTCATCCCTAGCTTTTCAATTTAAGATAAAAGATAAGATAAGATAAGAGTTAAGACAAAAGTTTTAGGCGTTATATATCCCATTGACCGCGAGATGTGGAATGAGCTATGAGGCATCCCATCAAACACACTTTAACATCAGCGAAAGCCAAAAACATTTCTTGAGGATAAAGTTAAGCGAAAATTCTCTCCTCGCGGGCCAACAGTACTATAAGAAGTCTTCGGAATCTTATGAGAGAGATGCCACAAATTAGGTGCCCAAATTTTCTATTTATAAGAAAGGAATATAAGAAAACCTCAAGTAAAATTTTTCGTTCACCTAACAATAATTTCTATTTTCACCGTTGTATTTATCTTCACCGATTGCAGTTATTCCTTTTTCAACTCTTTTTTTATGTAAAAACGCTTATTGAGAAACACGAGTGGTCCTTCTTTAAAGCTTTATGCTGTTGGTTACGTTCTCCTAGATGGCAACTGCATCTTGGCCTATTTATTCTGCAGTACCTTGTTCTGTCGCCCTTGCGAATGAACATATAAATATACACTTCCTCAATGGTAAGGGTGCATAGACAAGGTGGGGTTGAATTTCTAACAGTGGTGAACCACCGTCGCCTATTTGGCAACCATCATCTCAATTTTTAGGTACCTTCGTAGCATCAGCAGATTACTGCACGTGTGCATGGTGCTGTAGCTGTCCAGAATAGATCCGCTACCCCATGCGTCGCCCCATGTGGTCGCGTACAGCTCACCTTGGGTGTAGTTCTGCTCCAAGAAGTACTGTATTGACCTGAAGACTCGCAAGTTCTGACTTAATCATTTATTTATTATAATGCTGAATCTAGTTAAATTTGAGTAATTTTAGGTAGAAAACTACTTTCTGCGCAAGGCGAGGTCAAAATGATAAAGATATAATGTGCCAAAAAACCAAAGCCTAAAAAAGTTACAGCACTTTATTTTACACTGTCAGTGAAAATCGCTCGTTCCATCCGCCATTAGGGTTGGTGATGTTGTTATAAACAGAATGGAACATTTGGCTATACTAAAGTGCAGTTAGCATTTGATTATGGGCTGGCCATACCAGTGGGTGGCGTGTGTGACGCAACATGCTCATCCAGACTGACAAAGAGTTTGACACTTCCATTAGAAGCTCAACTAGGATTAAATTTACGTTGCGGTAGAGTTCTAAGAAGTACCTCCAACTAGACCTTAAGAAACAGTAGAAATGAAGAGCTTTGTTCGACAATTACGACACTGATCGTGCCCTCCTAGCAAGCAGAACACACTATGTGCGTTACGAGGATTAATTTTAAACAAAGGACAACGCGCTCGGCGCTTATCATTCCCTGACGAATACGCCACACATTAGGCTTCATCAGGTACCCATAGAAGTGAATGAATGCACAAATATTCCATAGAATGATTTGATATGGCCACCCGATGCATTAAGTCAGTGACTCTTAACCTCCTAGACAAGTCTAATAGCAATTTGCTGACCCCAGAGGGATGATAGGCTTGGCAACCGTTAGAATCGAACCAGTGACCATAATCACTACATTACATTCCCCTCTTGAAGAAGGATTAGAAGTTTCAAAGCACTCGTCATTGATGAGAATGCAAGGAATACGACATGATTATATGTGAATATAACCATAATGTTGCTGAGATATTTGCAAAACTCCGGACCGTTGGTGTCTGCGGTAGGAACCGAGCACGTTGTTACCCTTTCCGGGGATGGATGACGCGTTCACCACCACACTACCACACCATGCGAGTCCTTCGTTTCGTCAGTCTCTCAGCAGCGTTTTGACCTATAGGCGCTATATTTGAATAGATTTCTATAGTTCAACAGCCGCTTTTGGTTTAGATTGCTTAGGGTGGTAGTGCTGTAAGCAGTACAACCACAAGAACACCAAAACGGAACAAAAGGCGGAACCTCGGTTAGGTTTCGAATCCGCGATTAGCTTTACCGCGTGTGCACGTGTCATTCGTCGCAAGAACAGAGGCGTTTGCATTGCCTTTATCACATCCATTTTTTTAAGTGCTATCAGCCATAAACCGTCATCAGGAATGAACTCGGAAACAGATATCGGCAGTGAACTTAGTTAAGCTGAAACTGCAGTCGAAATCACAATGTTTTAACTTTTCTTTATTGACTACTCCTTCTTATGGTGTGGTGGAACTGGTGAGCTCCAGGTAAGGATAATCGCGGGTTCGAAACCCAACCAACGTCCCAAGTTTAGCTCATATCTCAGAATCCTTGTGGTTACATTTCAGATAGCACCCTCCATTGAAAAATGAAATGGCAGCAAATAAAAGTTGTTAAGACAGTATGAGCAGTGCTGTAGAAATTTGAAAAATGTACTAACCTGCTCCATCCAGTAGCTAAGGGTGCCTGTGCGTGTAGAGCAGCGTCGCCATTACCATGTATGAAGATAACAGGCTCATTCCGTATCTTAAATCATCAAATCAATCATCATGTATTACGACATTCCAAAACTGAAGTTGAAACCATAATGATGGAAAGTGAAATTTTAGCCGTCACCAACGTTCACGAGAAAGTTCGTTAGGTTTTTGAACTGATGCACTCTATAGTGCAACACGTCTCAGGTCAAGTTCTGGAAACGAGAGTGAACCAAGCCAGGTGAGCAGAAGTAGTGCGCCCTCAATCTTTAGATTTTGGATCGACTTTGACTCACTTGATTGTGTAGAAACAATAAGTCCGATACCATCTCTTCCACTATTTCATTCAATTTTGGTGTTTTGGTTAGGGTGGGAAAAACTGCTGTTTTGGTTTTTTTAACATGAAGGTCAAACATTCACACCTGTTCGGTTGATCGTTTCTTTCCGCCGAAGCTTCCGTTAGGCCCAACATCTGGCCTATCGAAGTTATCATTCTCATATCTAAATTCAACTACCGTCGAAATAGATCGGCTTGAAAGGAAAAAAGAGGGGAAGAGAGTTTCTTGTAAAACTTTTAGCACAAGATTGTAAAAAAAAATAACTGGAAATTAAAAGGCTGCACAAGGAGAACACGTACCCATTTGCAATGAGCCAGTCGACGAAATGCGATGAAAGCGGGCCTGGAGGACCGTATTTCTGGCAAAAGACGGAGACTAAAAGACAGCATGTCAGAACCAGCAATCTGAAAGCATCCATTGCTGCGCACTGCTCACTTCACCGGGTTCACTGTATGCCACAGTTTCTCCATGAACAACGTTGTTAATGTCTTAACCTTTTTATTTACTGCTTATTCTTTTTAACGGCAGGGTATTTTGCGAAATATAACTACTATAGTGCTGAGGTATTTACAAAACTCCGGAGCACAGCTGTCTGCGGTGGGGAACGAACGCACTATTGTCCTTTCCGAGGAGTAACGCGTTCACCACCACGCCATGTGGGTCTTTTGTTTCGCCTGTCTCTCAGCTAGTTGTATCGATCTTTTGCCATCAGCAATCACCCGTCAACGAGTTTAAGCTGGGGAGCCCAAATCGGCATTGAACCCAGTTAATCTGAGGCTATAGTTATAATCACAATCTTAACCTTTTTACGTGTCTTCACCACCATGGGCTGTTGCCGCGTTTGTGGAACAGAGGGTGATTTGCCGCCATGCGATTACTTTGAGGTGTATCCTTGTATTGATTTACTCTTAGCTGGGCTTCCTGCTGGAGAACCCGGAGTGCTTTTCAGCCTAGGAGACCCTACCAAGGAGATGAATCCACCGCTGTACATCGCAGCCCCACATCTAAGAACACCTCACAATCACAATGAGGCGGTAAATCGCTGGGAGGACCGTGCTGTATTACACTACTAATTAGTTACTCAGTAATTGCAGAGGTTTGTACAACAATAAGAGATGTGCAAGAATGTAAACTTTACATATGAGCATTGACTCTCAGCACAAGCTATTCGGTATTTCATAGAAAGCTACGACAAAAGGAGCTTTGTTTTTAAAACTCTGACGTCACAGGACAAATGACGATTGCTTTTCACCCTTCGTTGCTCATCAGCTGGTGAAAGCGACCTTTTCGTTACCACAAGGCAGTTCTCTTTATTTTCTTTACACATTTAGTCGATCCTATCGAACTGCTAATCGATTTTCAGATGTCTTCATGGTCTGCTCATCTCTTCTGAAGAAACGGGGAGTCTTAGATGGTGAAGATCAGCACATCGATCGCACGAAGTTAAGATTCACTTCGATATCCGAGCATCCTAACCGCGCCATTTTCCGTTCCCAGTTCTGCTACAACGCTAACCTCTGACAGGTGATATTGACATGATGATGAACTTGCACTAACATTAACATGATGTGTGATTTTATGTAACATTTGAATAAATTTCTGCCATTCGTTTCCTTTGTCAGTCGTCCACGGTGGTGAAGGGGTTCATGTGTTAGATCGATTGCAACTTGGGGATTCGTTGTCTTCTGTCATGAATGTCAGCTCGGTATAATTCTTCCCTAGAAAGCCGAGAGAGCCATATTAGGGCGTTAGAACAAATTTTTTCAAGGTAATTTTCTACATAATCGAGTTAACACGAGGCTGGTATAAACTTTTATTCGGCTAACGTTTCGGCACCTTCGCCATCCTCAGAACCGCCTTGATCCGAGTCGATGATCTACAGCCGGTTGTTGTGAATCGATGCGACAACAAACACTCACATTGCGACGACGACCAGCTGTGGACCGTCGAGTAAGTCAACGCAGCTCCCAGGAAGGTGGAGGCGCCGAAATGTTAGCCGAATAAAAGCTTATAGCAACCTCGTGTCATGCAGAACATTACTGATTGTTGTCACCGAAGTTAAAGATTAATGAAAGTCGGTTTTCAAGATTTTTCAGGACAACTTTTCCTGTCATGCACGTTCTCCTGTGATGCAGTCGTAATATGTTCGTGGGCTATACTTCCACATGTATCGCATATCGAGCTGGACTTTTCTTCATACCAATCCTTCATCATGGTTGTGTATCCTTCTAAAGGATAGCCGTTTGCAGTTGGAAGAATAAGCGCGGATCGCTCAGATCCGACGAGCACAACCCGGTTTTTCCATTAAGACGGGTTCTTACACCAATGAGGAAGTAGCAAGCACACCATTAAGCGATTCACGTCTTCTTCCTCCAACATCTCCCACTGTCGTCTTCTCGTTACTGATTACTATTGATTACGCCGTTTGGAGTAACCCGAAGCCTACTGCCAGTGTACATGCGGAATTTATGTGAATTGGAGATTCATTTAATAAACGCAACGATAAGACAAAGTTTGGAAAGTGGCCATATTTTTGTCTAACAAAATATCACTGTTATATAGTAAAGGTCTTACCATGCACTGGGCTAAATATATCTTGCAAAATTTTACTTTTAACTGACAAAACCTACTTATTTAGCAATCCTGAATTGAAACTCTTTCGGTTGGAGAGCTACTTTTTGACTAGGACATTCGTCCAGAACTTAACCACGTCTAACCCCATGGAGTCATGAAAGACGCTGATTTATGATGTCAAAAAGATAAATCTACTACGCCAACGGCCGCAACATGTAATAACAGAAATAAGTCTACAGAAGAATATGGCTGAACATTGCACATCGTTGCAAATTATAGAAAGGATTGTAGTGTACTGCTGAGAACAATGCCTCAACGAAGATAGAGTGCATGAACATATCATACGCCTTAATTCTGGACCTCCATGGCAGGGTATGATAATGGCAGGGATGCTAAGATAAGAGCAAAACGTGGAACCTCAGTTGGGCTTCGGACCCGCGACTACCCTTCCCAAGGGCTAACGCTCTATCCAACACATCAACGGAGACCCTTGATTTGCTTTTCTCTCGGTCACATTTTTACTCAGTCGCTGCTATCAGCAATCGCTGTCAAGGAGAATGATCTTGAGAATTCGTTGAACCCGGTTAATCTGAAGCTAGAGTCGAGTTTTGCCTATATATCAGTATCTCTATTAAAAGAAGGTTTTTAAGAAATACATAACCAGCACAGAAAGAAAAGGCATAGTGAAAGAAATAAATAAGAAAGGGTGACCTGAAATAAAGCATATAATTGACGAAAAGATAGGGGCAGAGGAAAACTGAAGACTGCATTTAAGTAGGAGGAGAGTTTATTTTTACGGGACTATGGAGCGCAAGGGTGAGGAAGAACGAGACGTTATACCAGAGTAAAAGAACATGGGAGGAACAACTGTTGAAAATAGAAGAGAAAGGTAGAAAAAATAAACGGCAAATGTGACGAAAATGGATTAAGTTTGGAAAGAACACGACAGGCTCCTACGATGGAGACTGAAAATAGACGAAACCATGGAAGCCGTGGATGCAGAAAGTGAAAGCGGAGAAAACTGACGATATCACAGAATATGAACATCGGAATACCATAAGATTAGCCGAGGCCTGATGAGGCTTTCATTCTAGGAATATTATCTCGTTTGATATTAAAATTTAAACGAAGCTAGCAGGTTTTCTTAACTAAATCTTATCACACCTTAATTTATATTTTATGACATGATTGCAGCCTACTAAAATTAATCAGTGCTGAAATCATTTGAATAGGGGTCCTGCTCAGGTGGCGATACATCTAAGCATGTCAGTGGAACATAATTTTCTCCTTTACGTGTAGTTCGGTTTTTTACACAGCTGAGCCTACTTTTGTTGTTCTCACCGCTTAAAAATTTGTAAGATAATTCAATAGTAACTCACTTTACTCATGACTATAGCCTTAAAGTTACCCACCTGTAGGTTCGCAGCAGCATGAGTATGGTATCCAGCCGCGGGGCGGTGCTGGCTAGACAAAGTGCAATGCGAGGAGCCGGTGGGACAACGATCCGGATTGGCTTGAAACGAGATCTAGCGCCAGGATTCGCAACACGAGAGCAGACCTGAGCGAGAAAAACAACGGATCTCGCACAAGCCGAATATTCCCGACGTTTGCGACGTCGCGCAACGGTCTCCGTTCGATTCTGTGCTTATTCCTATTTGCTTAGAAGCGCGGAAAATTCCGGTCAATGGTGTGTTCATCAAAGACATGTAGTGATTTTATCCTTTAACAAAGAAGGATGACAATACACATACGTGGTGGATCGCGCAGAATTGGTGTTTCGAGTTCTTTTTTTGCGCGACCGTTACTACCAGGTGGCGAACGGCAGTGCCTGTCCAACTTTATGTTAATTTCGTGTTCGTTGCACTTGAAGCGTGAAACCGTTCGGCTTGATCAGTCCTCTTAGACATGAAAGGTTCGGATCGTCCGGTGTGCGGGATCGAACTACGTGCAGGGCCCTTCTAATGTACTATTCGCGTCCTCATTGTGTCACTTATTTGCCATACAATTTTTTTAAAGTTGCTTACACTCGAATGCACTACCATGCTCGAACGAAATCGCCTCTATGGACAACGATTGTGAGGGAAAGAAACGAAGGACAAACGTGCTGGGTTCCGCGCAACTCGTGAGAGCGAACCATCCATGTATCGAAGTAAGTTAGTAAAGTTGCTTACTGGGCTCTGCTTATTTCTGCTTATTCGTGAATCACCACGGCGTTCCCTGATTATAATGCCCAACTTCTTCTCGGCCTAATGGGAAAGCATTCCGCTCTAATTCGAAGTTCGACCTATGGCAATCACCTCACCTCCAAAAACAATGAGGCCATGAACTATTGAGCACACGCGATTGATACAGCAAAAAATCGACGTATACTTAAGAAGATGATCCGTATTGTGGATTGTAAACTTTTCGATACTGTGCGCCGCATTCGATGCCTGCAATTTCAACTTTTTTAATGGTTCACTCCCGAAAACAGCCATATAACTAATTTGATTTCTCTGCAGAAGTGCGTTTTCTGTCCGATCCGAGCTGTTTTCTTTTTCTCTCATTTCTCGGTGTTATCAATTACACAATTGGAATTTAGCGCATTCATTGAAGTCGTGAACGTGAAATCGTGAAGTCACAGCATTCAGTGGCTCGATGGCTGGTTGCTGAACGCCTTTGTGCAAAAAGAAGAAAAGGCGCACAGTGATGGCAGTTCGGTTTTCGGTTACCAGCGATATAAAGAAGAAGTTCGATTCTGTACCATTTCCCCACTACCGTGCATGGACCTTGCCGTGAAAACTACAAACAATTCGCTGCAGAAAATCGAGTATGCATCGAGTTGAAAACTTGAGCAACTTATGA